CTGGCCTCGGTGCGACACAGATCCTTCTCTTTTTGTCATGAAAAGATGCAGCCATGGTCCTCTTCTCCCCAGGGCTGGGCACCTCTCAGTGTAATTTTCCTCAGTTGTGCCTCTGTCCTCTGACGGAGACGTAACTGAGTCGCACCATGCCCGAAGATAGAGACGTAATTGAGAGATGATAATAAAACCTACCCGGCCAGGTAAGTAGAAAATACGTTTGTGTAATCATCACGAAAACCAATGACTGATTTAAATTCGCATGAATTCAGTTGTGAGTTGTCTTCCTTGAATAACTTCCTAAATGCAACGACAGAAAATATTTTTCAAAACAGATTCAATATAGTTCCTCAGCTTTGTAACAACTATCAAAATAATGAACAATAAAAATTCGACCATTCAAAGGCAAAATTTGAACTATCGATTTGCATGTCAGAGACGTTTCGGAATTGACCAGTTTCCTTTGGCTTCACCGTTGGAGTCGGCAAAGTCGTAACTATTTGTCAGAAAAGAAAATTGTTAATATAATAATTATAACAATATTAAGTTGAACTATAATTAAAATAACCTCGAGGCGGTGTAATCGTTAGCAAGCTTGTCTCGCGGGAACAGTTACGACTGAGTAGTGAGTTCGATCCCCACTGGGTGCCCCCTACTTTCGGCCTTGTGCCACATCTAAGCTATGCTTTGAAAATCACTATATAGTAAGACCGCTATCTTTAAAAATCATAGTTATCCTTAAGAAATTATTAATGTAATATTCACTTGCATGAAAGGAATTATTCCTTCAACGCAAAATAGTTCGTCTTGAAATAACACCCAGTGGGTTGATAAGATGTAAAAAACAAAATAATCAATCCTAGGGAAGAACGACAAGATAAAAGAAGAGTACAGATAAAACATAAATATATTTATTTTTAAAAAATATCTAGATTTTAAATGTGCAGAAAATAAAAGAACTGTTACCAAAAATCTTTAACGGAAGAAATGTTTAAAAAGTTTATAATAAAAAAATAAAAATGAAATGAAACTAGTATATTTAGCTATCCCCGTACAAGGGTTTCATGTGGCACAAGGCCGGTTTAACGTGTGTTCTCCGAGCCCGTGGGCTCGGCCAAAAATATTCGGATAAACGGGTTCAGGGGCAGTCCACCTCCCCAAACGACACTCTGCCCTTCAGCGTAGCCTCGTCCGGTTTCGACTGTTTAGCTGGGACAGGTCGCAGCTAGTAATGAAATGAAACTAATATATTTAGCTACCCCACCACGAGGGTTGCATGTGGCCTAAGGCCGGTTTAACGTGAGTTCTCCGAGCCCTTAGGCTCGGCAAAAAATATTCCCTTTTGAACCCGTATAAACGGGTTCAGGGTCAGTCTACCTCCCCGAACGAGACTCTGCCCTTCGGCGGAACCTCGTCCTTGTTCCTCTCTGCCCGAAAGCAGAGAGTTCGATTCTTTAGCTCGAACAGGTCGCAGCTAGTAATGACATGAAACTAGTTATAAAAAATTCATACACATTATAATTATAACAATATATATGAGCACGTGACCCAATGGTTGGGACGTTCGTATTCTGAGGTTCGAATATTCTAAACATGAGATCCGAGTTCGAATCTCAGCATGGTCGATTCATCACGAAACAGACTTCCTGATATCCTCGGACTGGAGTGTCTATCTCAGTCTGCGGCACTTTTGGAAAATTAAAACCCATACTACGAGTTAACCCAAGCCTTGTGAGTGAAACTAGGTTGGCGGAACCCTTGGCAGCCGTGGATAGCTGTCTCGAGGGTTTTGAGCGTGCTGGCTTTGTTCAAAAGTTTGATTCCAAGAAACTATAACAAAGGTCTGCTCAGCAGTATAACTCTGTGGGTGTTGAATAAATACAAACGTGCCTGAGCAAGCGGCTGCAATAGGGATTGGCTAGATTTCCCTAATAGAAGGGTATCCTCGAATACGACTGGCCAGCTATACGTACATAATTATAAAAATTTCCTAGTCATTCATACTCTTTTTTTTTTTTTATATTGAAAACAACCCCAAATGTTTTTGGTAGAGAATATAAATGCAAAATATTGATCAATATTTGTCCTTTGTATCTTCTTAGTCTTAAAAAGCCGATCAATAATCTCTGGACATTTTTCCTCTGCTTTCCTCTCTTCAGGCATTTCAATTATTTTCTATAATAGTCAAGTCAAGATACTGACAAGGTCAATTTTCGAATGTACGCCGTCGTTTCCTTTTCAGTTATTTATGGTCGAAGTAGGAGAGCTCGGACATTTCTGGTGGAAAATGTATGAACCTGGATGTAATTGAAAGATTCCTTCATCAAGTACGCCCTTTATATTCTTTGTAATCTCCATTTCTAATTCATTAAATGTTTTCGATCCTCTCGAATTCTGCGACATTCTTAAATTGCTGCTGAGATTTTTGCCGGTGTCACGGTACATATTTCGATAAATCGTTCGCAGGTCGTCTCACTTATTGTCTCATACGATATTCATCTGA